TCTCTCTCTCTCTCTCTTTAAAAAAAATAAATTTTGGAAACAAGGGCTGGGGATGTCGCTCAGTGGTAGAGTGCTTGTCTAGCAGGTGGGAGACTCTGGGATCAATACCCAATAATAGAAACAAAAGAAAAAAGATGTAGTTAAAATGTTCTGTTTGCACTTCCCAAATCTAGCTCCCTTCATGTCCAGTCCAGAAGCAACCATGTGTAAGTAGCTCTTACACTATGTATGCAGAACAATATGTATTGCTGTTTTCTTTGTTGTATTACAATTTTTTTTCTTTTGGTACTGGGGATTGAAGCCAGGGGCACTTTGCCAGGGATAACACCCCCAGTCCTTTTTATTTTATTTCAAGACAGGGTCTCCCAAAGTTGCCGAGGTTGTCCTAGAACTTGCAATCTTCCTGTCTCAGCCTCCCAAGTTGCTGGGATTACAGGCGAGTGCCACTCTACCTGGTATGTTTTCCATTTGTTTGTTTGTTAGTACTGGGGATTGAATTCAGAGCTTTACCAAGACTAGGCAAGTGACCTATCACCGAGCTGTATCTCCAGCCCTGTTTTCTATGTTGTAAAGCTAATAGAGAATATCATGCTCTGCAACCTGATTTTTTCCTCTCAACCTTATGCTTTTGAGATGGGCCTACCTGTAGACACCTGAAGCTTTACTTCCTTTCTTTCATTGTTGCATAGCATCCCATTATGTGATCATGGTGTCTCTGCTGCAGACTGTCTTGAGATTGTTTCCAATTTCCCATAGCATGAACACTGCTGCTGAGAACATCCTATACATGTGTCCTTGGGCATCTGTGACCAAGGGTCCCTGGAGTTTCTACATTCCTAGAGTTGAACTGCTGGCTAGGGTATGCTGATCTTCATCTGATCTAAATATTGTCAAATTGTTCTGGGCAGCATAGGTGCTGATTCACCCCTTATCACAGGGTCTGTGTCTTCACATCTTCACCAATCTGCATGTTGTCAATATTCAACTTTATTTTTGGTATTGGGGATGAAGCCAGGGCTCTGCGGCAAGCTAAGAATTCA